TTCACATTTTCTCTCATAATCGGAGTTCGCAGTTAATTATATATTGATATGGAATATATAGATAATATGAAAGTACATTTGCTACAGTGTGGGGAGACAACGGATTCTAAAGGGAAGGAAAAGAACTAAGAGAGGACAACAAAAGGGAAAAGGAGCGAAAATACTGCATGTTCTCTCATGTTTGCGTGTGTGCCTGTGCATGTGTGCATGTGTGTGCATGCCTTAGTGTATTGTGGGGGGGTGTATGTGTGATGGAAGCAGAAGGGAGACTATTTGGAGGAGGAAGGGGACCAACAGAAAGGAGAAGAGGGGACAGTGGACAAGGGAGAGCTGTTGGAGGGGATATAAACAATGTAAAATATTTTTGTATTTATGAAAATGTTATAATTAAACTCATTATTTTATATATTACTAAACAATAGAGAAGACTCAAACAAATATCTCATTTTCTCTCATGTGTGGAACACATACACACATACATATGACATGCATGTGGAAGAGGAGTTATTTGGATATGGAAGGCAAGAGTGGGTAATGGGGAAATACAGTCAAAGTCATATACTTGAACAAAAATGTCATTGCAAAACCCATCTTTTGCACAACAAATAGAAACTAGTAAAAAGGTTTTATTAATATTTTTAATTTAAAGACATCTGTGGAGAAATCATAGTGTTCTTTCCAGCTGAAAGTTATTTTTATATCTAGGAGGGGTTTTAAAAGCCTCCATGTATTTCAGTGTACCTGTGCATGCAAGTTCCACTGAAGCCAGAAGAGGGCATTGAGTCCCCTTGAAGTGGAGTTATGAACCACTGTCAGCTACTATGTGGGTTACTTGAGACCAAATCCAGGTCCTCTGCAAGAGCAGCCAGTGCTCTTAACCATTGAGCCATCTCTCCATCCTCACAGCTGAAAATTTAAATGGGGAAATAAACATGCCCTGTGAAATGTAAATGAAACTTTCTACAGTGGAGTAAAAGACTTCTCAGAAAAGATCCTGATCAGGATCTTGTGTATACTGCCGTTGATATGCTCTTGCCTGATCCCTTGTCTAATTGCAAAATCTTATTTTTTTTTTCTGAAATCAACTTTCTTTCCATTTGGAACCTGTTTCTCATAGAATAGGTTAGTAAATACTGGAGATAGTTAAATGAAATGAAATAAAAAGATGTTTTGTTTTCAGTAGAATATGGTACACATACTATCCTGGAAATTAACTTTCTTTCCATTTGGAACCTGTTTCTCATAGAATAGGTTAGTAACTACAGGAGATAGTTAAATGAAATGAAATAAAAAGATGTTTTGTTTTCAGTAGAATATGGCACACATACTATCCTCACCATCAGCCCTGATGAAGGTCCAAATTTCCAATCCTCTAGTAAGTTTCTCTTCAAGGTGTCTATTTGCATTAAGTATATCATTTTACCTCTTCTTCATTTTAGTCTCAAATTGAATGAAGCTCTGTTGAGGGAAAGAATGGAAGGAAAACTGCCTCCCTTTTCTGTCACATAATATATTGGTGTGGAGAGGAAAGCAGGTTGAGAGAGAAGACTCCCTGTTCTTTTGGAGCTATGAAGTTACAAAGGGAAGAGAGCTTCTGCTCCCGTTATTCCTATACAATGAGTTGAGTTGGAAATAATGAGTTGGAACCCAGGATGCAGAATTCAAGACAACTTAGGTAGTAAGGTCACAGAATCATGAGGAAAGGAGGAGTTTCAGATCAGACATGATTCTGAAAAGAAGAGGCAGGGAGTTCAAAACTGGTGGAGTGACGTGACTCTAGCCATGCCACTGTTGACATTTGACCTTTGTTCTTTTACAAGAGACTGTATCTATCTCCATTAGGTGAATTACTAAATCAAGAGAAATTCTAAATATATTCATTCTGATAATGATATTATAACATACAGCATAAGTGCAAATTTCAAAACAAAAAGTTTGTTGTAGACACCAAAAGTCACCTGTGTGAAGGTACTTACATATTCAATATTATTGTAGCACCAAAGCCTCCATGTATTTCAGTGTACCTGTGCATGCAAGTTCCACTGAAGCCAGAAGAGGGCATTGAGTCCCCTTGAAGTGGAGTTATGAACCACTGTCAGCTACTATGTGGGTTACTTGAGACCAAATCCAGGTCCTCTGCAAGAGCAGCCAGTGCTCTTAACCATTGAGCCATCTCTCCATCCTCACAGCTGAAAATTTAAATGGGGAAATAAACATGCCCTGTGAAATGTAAATGAAACTTTCTACAGTGGAGTAAAAGACTTCTCAGAAAAGATCCTGATCAGGATCTTGTGTATACTGCCGTTGATATGCTCTTGCCTGATCCCTTGTCTAATTGCAAAATCTTATTTTTTTTTTTCTCTTTAGGGTCTATCTGCTTATATGGAAGCCCCATCTAAACGTAAAGATAAGGATCAGGATTGGGAAAAAAGGGAGTCTATCATGGGGCAGCCACTGTGAGATGGCTAGAGCCTGCCAATCAAATTCTTATCTGAAACCAAGTCTATGTTCCATTTCTCTTATCTCACAGAGGCCAGAAAGCTGTAAGTCTACATTCACCTTTGAAACCATATGCCTGTGATGAACTCAGTTTCCCCCAACTTTAAAAATCACTCACTACTGACTTAGGCTTCTCAATGGGAAACCTCATTGAGAAAAAGTAATTCTGACTTCTCCAAATATTCTAAGCTGTTACTCTAAGTTAAAAGTATCAGAATAGGTTGGAAAAACTATTAAAACACAAACTTCTGCATCCAAGCTCCAGAATTTCTGATTCAGGAGCTCTCAGAAAAGTCCTTGGAATCTGCATGCCTAACAAATTTCCAGGTGCAGCTGCTTATGCTGGTCTAGGTCTCTTACTCTGAGAACCACATTTCCAACCTCTTGTTGCTCATGTATCTTTTCATTCTGATCTCACAGCAGATGCACAGCTACCTACGACCTAGGAAGTGTTAGGAGAATCAGCACGCTTTCTAAGCTGGAGTCTCCATATTCTTATTTAATGCAGTTCTCATTCTGTAGGTTGAATGTGGGGCCTCAGATTCCGTTCTCTGACAAGCTACAATATATGCAGTGCTGCTGTTCCTTGGGCCATGCCTGAAGAATTAAGTTTCTAAACTGTTCTAGCAAAATCTTTGATCTTAGGCGGTTACACATGTCGGAGCCTTAACCTTCCTCTCATCCTGCTGTCCTGAAGCAAACACTCATCTAATCTCTCTTATCTCTTGCAAGTTACTTCCTAGCCACACAACACAGCCTGTATGCTTCCACAAATATGAAAACCCTGAGCCTCCATAATGTTTTTATATTTAAATTTACCACTTCATTCCTGGTGATAGCAGAATCACCTGTGTTTGCACCTTTTTCTTTTGCAGGAGTTCTCTAACTCTCAAAGATGACCAACATTTTTGAGGATATCAGTTTCTCTTTTCCACATCTTTTGGCAGGTATACGTGTTCATTTAACATTACGTTATACTCACCACTAAACCATTCTTACAATGAGAACAAAGATTTTCACACAGTAAATATTCTGTAACTAGGCACATCATTTTATTAAGTAAGAAGTTATTTTGTTGATTCAGAATTCAGAATTATCAAGAATCTGAGTCCTCATGTTCTCTTTAGCTTTCCTAAAGCTGGCAGAAAAGGCTTAGTCTTCCAGCTAAAGTGCTCTGTCAGAGTCTTCAGCATTCCTCAGGTCTGGGATTTATGAACGAGCTTGAGGATGCCCCTGCGGATCTCCTTGGTCTTCACGCTGTAGATGATGGGGTTGAGCATGGGGGGAACAAACAGGTAGACGCTGGACATCATGACATGAACAACAGCTGGAGCACTTTTCCAGAAGCGGTGAATCATGGAGACAGCAATTATAGGCACATAAAAGGCCAGCACCGCACAGATGTGTGATATGCAGGTGTTGAGTGCCTTAAGCCGTTGCTCACGAGAAGCGATGGCTAGCACAGCTCTCAAGATCAATGCATAGGAAAGAAGGATGAAGACTGAGTCCACGCCATAGGTGAAAATGACCACAAAGAGTCCATAGATGTTGTTCACACGGATGTCTCCACATGCCACCTTCATGAGATCCGGATGGAGGCAGTATGCGTGATGCAAAACATTGCCCTTGCAGAAAGGAAGTCGTTTCACCAGAAAGGGGAACGGAAAGAGGGTGGCGAAACTCTTGGCAAAGATGGCCAGGCCCATAGCCAAGATGCGACTGTTGGTAAGCACAGCGGCATAGCGCAGTGGGTTACAAATAGCTACAAAACGATCAAAGCTCATGGCGAGAAGTATGCCTGATTCCATAAAAGAAAAAGTGTGAATGAAGAACATCTGGACCAGGCAGGCATCAAAGCCAACATGGCGGTAGTTGAAGCAGAAGGTGGCAAGCACGGTGGGAAGTGTAGACAGGGACACTCCCAGATCATTGAGGGAGAGCATAGAGAGGAAGTAGTACATGGGCTGGTGCAGAGCAGGCTCTCTGATGACCAGAGCAAGGATACTGAGGTTGCCTATGATGGAGATGAAGTAGAGGATGCAGAAAGTCAGGGCAACCCAGGCTTGACCTGTCTGCACCCCCGGGATGCCTGTCAGCTGGAGTGTGTCTGGCTGGAAGGGAGTGCCATTGAGGCTCAGCATTGTAGGCAGATGGGAGAGTGCAGCTGGGAAGGGGCCCAAGTGGGTGTGCTGGGGAAGTTCTTCACTTTCTCACAGATACCCTGTCTCCAACACAAAAGGTCAGAAATTTAATGTGTGTGTGGATTTCTGCCTCCCCATTAGAATCTGAATTCTTTGCAGTAGGAATGTGTTTCTACTCAGTTCTGTACCACAGGACCCAACATACTCTCTAGGGCATAGTAGAAACTGTGAAAAGGTTACAATGAAACAAGTGCCTATAACACGGCAAGGCAATGTGGTAGAAGACAGGGTAATGAGAGCTCTCTAGTCCTCACCATAAGGTATAGTGACCCACCATTTTCCTATATGCTCTGGCAGTCACATTCTGGGAATTTGGGAGTAAAATACAGAAATTAGTAGAAAACAGAAATAGAAAAATGGTCCATTCCTTTTAGAACTCCTCAGCTGATAAGATAGACGACTTGTGACCACAAAACTTAAGCTTCAACAACCTTTACCCAGACTTCATCTCAGCCTCCCAAGGTCATGATCACCCCTGAACTTGTCATCATCAAAAACCATTCTATCTCTGAAATATTAAATTCCATGTATTCGAATTTTGATGTTAGGCTTCTGCTTCCTAGTCCTCTTGCCCTCTCGGGTTTGCACACTGCTTGGGAGACTCTGTAACTGTCCTGGTCTATTCATCTATTTACTTTTCCTTCTTTATTTCCTTCCTGATCTACTACATGATTAAAGTTATCCTGATCTCCTCTTTCTTTTCTTTGAAATCTACATAGTAAACCAGAGTTTGATAACCAAACCAGCTATGCAAGCAAACAAAAACCAAAGAAGTAACTGTTTTACTGGAATTAATATACGTATTTTATGTTTCTTATTATTAAATTTTAACTTGACTAATACCTTTATCCATTCTTACCCGCAGCTTTCTGCGCAGAACTTGTGTCTTCCTTTCCAAAGACAAGCACTCTGCTTTTAAGATTCTGTTTCATGTCGCTGCGTCCAGAGACCTCTTCCATCGGTTCACTGTGTAGTCCTTCAATCTGGGGCCTTTTCTGCTTCTCTTTCTTCAGCAAACAACTGTGTACAGAAGCATCCCGTCATAAAAACGTGATAACATTGTTCTCTAGCTTCTGCCCTATGACCTTTGCCACTTCCATTCAAATTTACTTTTCCGGACATTACTCCTGATGCCAAGGAAGGGGGGCTTGTCATTTATCTGTGTGTCTGCTCCCCAAGATCATTCTGCAATCCTCCATGTCAGGGTCTTGAGCTTATTGACCTTACCTGCTATTGCTACTCATTTCATTGTATTGCATATTCTACACTCTCTCCCCAATCTAAGCACATTCCTCCATGATGACCTCTTTGTCTCTAAAGTTCCTAATGTATTCAAGCTCTCTTTCAGAGTTAACACTGTTGGCGCCATCTTTTGAAAGCCTCTTTTCCCTTTAAGGACACTACTTCTTTTCTTAAATCAGCTTCTCTATGTATTCTTTCTCATCTTTCTTCTGTCTTTACAATAGCTCTAAGTAAAAGCAATAATAGGATGGTGCACATTGAGAAGTCCTACCATTAAAAAGGCTTCATTTCAGTCTTCATCCCAAATATCTCTGCAGCTGTTTTTCATGACAACAGACAGCTCAAAATTAAAGGTCTATTCCATAACGTAAGCATAATGGTTCCTTTTATCCTTTTATAGAGTGTCCATCCTATTCCAAGGACCACTGAAAAACACAGTGGACTTTGTTGGTGACAAGAATGCAGAAAAAGCAGTTATCCTGAGACGTATGGGCTATAGGAATAAATTCCTGTATTTCTTTTGTTTCTCTCCTCTCCACCTGACAAATCAAAACTCTCCTTTCAGCATTAGACCTTCTTGTCTCTTATTCTCTGAAAACTTCTTTCCCTCTGAACCCAACTTTAAGGTCAGTATCTCTAAAAAGTCATTTTAGAACCAGGCTGCACAGATTTGCTTTTTTATAACATTTTTATTTCAAGACTATCTCTAAGTTATGAAGAAATGGAAATTCTTGGCATCTCCAAGAAATGCTAAGAATTCTTCAAAACTACAGGACTAAACCCCCACCATGACTTAATCCCTGGTGTGCAAACTGAAGTAATTTAGAAGGATAATACTTCATCTGCACTCTAGATCTTTCTGACTGGAAAGCAGTTCTGAAAATTTTCCATGAAGAACGATGCACACTGACTTCAGTTGCTTTTCTTTGATTTGTCTATGGGGCATCAGTCAAAGTTTCCCAAATGTAACCAATCTAGGAAGAAAGGCCAAAGGATGGAGCACAGCTTATGCAAGCACGCACATTACACAGGGCCTCTAGTGTGTCAGAAAATAGACATTTTAGATTTTCATACATGCACACTCCATAAGCATGACAGATGCACAGAAGCTGTCGTGTCCTCCTACGATCACACACAGTGCTATCAAACCATAGAACTTAAGAATATCCCACGGTTACTTGTCAGCATTGTGTGATATGTTTCAAGTATTTTTCCATGTTTACATTCCCTTAAACACTTATTCATAATAACACATACACACACTCATTCTCACTCTCACTATTACTCTTTTTCTCTGTGTCACACACACACACACACACAGAAATAACAAATGCAGCAATAGTAACAGACCCACTATAACATCCCCAATAATATTCCCACAGCACTTAATGCAGAAAACTCAACTAAAGTTAAAGAGCACGCTACTGATGAACAGTTTTTTCTTGTGATTTTTTTAAAGCTGCCTACCCAAGAGCTAGGTACACTCAATCATAATTCAAATTACAGGCATTTAAAATAAGATGACTGAAATATCCTCAAAACAAAATATAAATCAGATGTGTTATCCTGTTAGCCTAATGACAGTAATTTGGTGTTAAGACTGACTCAAACTGAAACCTGCCTTCATTTTTCTGTGATCCTGGACATTAGAGGAGATGCATTAGACTCATGTGTAGAAACTAGGCATAAGGGTTAGACGGTGCCTAGAAATTCAGTAAAATGAAAATATTCAGGATAAGATCTGGATAAGGAACACAGTAGTCTGTCTGAGGAAGGAGCACTCACTGGATGGAAGAGGTGTCTTTTCTGGATGTATCATGCTGTGAGTCCAGCCGGCAGAGCGGCCTCAGCTCACCCTTCTATGACATACATTTATGAATGCCCCAAATCCCAAGACTCTTGTATTCAGGGAGGAAAGGGTAATTAACATAATAGGGATGGTGGCATCAATGAATAAGAGAGTTGACATAGAGGAGAATTGCTCCCAAGGGAATCTCATTCTTGGTCATAGTTATGATATCCTTGATGTCATCATCTATCCCCACTAGTATAATATTCCTTGACTGGGGATGTAAACACATTGCATACAGTGCACACAAATATAAACTGACATATTGAGTCCCCACAGAAACACACTCAGACACATTCAATTATTGATTTATATTCACATTTCCTCTTTCTTTTTTTAAATTTTATTATTTTTATGTGTATGTGTGTATTGCCTGTATGTAGGTAAGTGGACCCATGTCATGCAATGCCCGTGGATGTCAGAAGAGGCTGTCAGATCCCCAGGGACTGGAGTTACAGACAGTTGTTAGCTGCCATGTGGGTGCTGGGATTTGAACCTGGGTCTTCTCCAAGAAAAACCAGTGTTCTTAACTGCTGAGCCATCTCTCCAGCCCTCACATTTCCTCTTTCAAATTCACATATAGACCGTGCTTCTGCAGTCTCCCAATTCTGTAGCCATTAACCATAGAGCAAACACACACTATAATCTAAGTGTTCTTACATTGGTTATAAAAGCTCATGTAGATGAGTCGTGTATACATTTAAAAAATAATGAAGCATAATTAAAAAATACTTCTGTTCTCACACAACCAAAAGTTTACATTTCAAACACATATCCCCATTACTATTAGTAGTTCAACAAAGAATCTAACAAATTCATGTATCCATATCTATCCACAGATTAACATGTGGAATTACAGTATACCATATAATTTGTATACAAATACCAGCATCAAAAAAGCATATTTTATGCAAGCATTTTTTAATATATTTTTTTTATTTTTTAAAAGAAGCATTTCATTACAGCTTTAACATACTCAATAACAGTTTCCAGAGCAAAGATACATCTCTTTCAAAGGTGGCTATAAAATTTTTAGGTTCACTGTTGAATTAATACAGTTATACAATATTAAACTCAGTATAAACCCTGTAAGACATAAAATTGAATGAGTTTTTAACCTTTAAGAAAGATCTCCATTTCATTTTAAAGTACAGTGTTTCTTACAGAAAGACTCATTGTTTTTGCTAATAACACTGTGATGTTGGTGTTTAGCCAATCCTGTTTCCAAAAACGATGTCTGCCAGAGTCTTAAAACATCATATAGGCCGGGCATGGTGGCACATGCCTGCAGTCCCAGCACTTGGGAGGCAGAGGCAGGTGGAATGTGTATAACACAAAGAACACCCCAAACCATCTTGTTCATCTATACACCCACTTCCCAGATGGAGGGGTTAGACAATGTGAGAGATATAATTTATTGATTTGTGTGTGTATGTGTATAACACAAAGAACACCCCAAACCATCTTGCTCATCTATACACCCACTTCCCAGATGGAGGGGTTAGACAATGTGAGAGATAAATAATACCTAGCTAGTTTTATAAAACAGAGGGAACCATATTAGTCAAACAACTACTGACAAATTAGACATACCAGATCAAGAAATATATGTCTAGGCAAGGTTTATCTGAGAACAATTAGACTTTGCCCAAGATTTATCTACATAGCACATGGTAATCAAAAGTACCAGACTGGTGGAAATAACATTCTTGGATGTTTAACAAACATACTTTGAGGCCTATACTAATTTAGTCAGAGGGACATAAAGGACGGTTTTTTTCTCCTTGCCCTCCTAGGTCAACTAGTTCCAGGGTACTATGAGCATCTCTCAAACTGTCCTGTGATTGTG